AATTGGAGAATGCATCATCCAAACTGATCTACTGTGATGGAAATGGAAGAAGAGAAGGATCTACCTCTGTTATTGGGAACCCCATTCCTTAGTACAGTTGGCGCTTCAATAGACTTTCACAAGCAAGAAGTGATCCTTCACAAGGTGAATAGTTTGGTGTCATATCGCTTGCAGCCTAGAGGTTCAGACTTTTGTGCCACAATTGACAGTACCAACTCTCAGTTCTAAGAGTCATGGAGCTACAAAGGTTGTGAAGGAAAGGGTTGACAAAGAACCAAGAGTTGGGAAGGATAAGGTTGAGAGAGGACCAAGGATTGAGAAGCCACGTCTTGAGAGGGCTAGAGTTGAGAAACCACGATCTGATAGACCACGAGCTGATCGACTTGTTCAAGCCCCTTGTGTGCTTGATGAAGAGAGCCTTCAAGCTTTGTTTGATGAGCCACTAGGAAGGGCTCTAAAAGAAGGGGAGGATGTAGCCTCTAAGGCAAGACCAGGGATAAAAGAAAAGGATCCACCAGCTCAGGCCCCTTCAGTCAAGCCATCTCAGCTCACAATGACTTTGTTCCCCACCAAGTTTGAAAATGGGAAGATTGAGTACAAGATAAGGTACAAGGGGAGATCAAGGCCATTCTCTAGAGCCAAAGCCTTGGTGACTTCAGAACAGTCCAGGGACCCAACCAAGCTAAAGGAGCTTCTGTCTCAAGTCCTCACTATCACCCTTGATGGTGGGACTAGCTCAACCAATGCCTAAGAAGGTAAAGGTCAAGCTATGGGACCTTAAACAAGCTCACTTGGGAGGAAGTCCCATGTTTATCCTTGTACATATTCTATTTATGCAATTTCTATCTATTTTCGTGTTTTAACCTTCAATAAGTTAAGTTTAGGTGTCAAAGGAGCCAGCTCGACCGACAGCTCGATCGAGCTAGAAACCAGGGCAACTCGATCGAGTTCCACAACTCGACCGAGGTAAGTTTTTGAATTTCAAATTCATAACCGTTTTCTTGGTCAAGGGAGTGGGTCCCACAAGCTGATTTTGGTCCCCCACTACCCTAATTGATCAGAAAAATCCCTAGCTTCTTGTTCCCTCTTTATTTCATCTTTTAATCTCAACCACACATCTCAAACACCCTCTTCCCCATAACTCGATCGAACCCACTTCTCCACTCTCCCACACTAAATTTCTGAAACTCATCTCTCTCTCTCTTCACCACAAGAAAATTTCGATTTCAACTCTCTCTTAAGTTTTTGCGATTTCCTCTTGTTCTTCATTGCTTTGCTTGGGTTTTAGTTTACTGCTCTTCAATTCATCATTCAAGCAAGGTATGAACCCTAAAACCCTTGATTCCTCCATCTCGATTTCCATTATTGTTAATTAATGCTTAGTGCTTCACTAGAATTGCTCATTGTTCCATTTACTAGTTGTTCTTGGTTCAATTTGATTGATTAGCATCCTTTCCAGCTCTTAATACTTGAATTAGGTTCGGTTATACTCTGTTTTCACCTAGCTCGATCGAGTTTGTCACTCGAGTTTTTTGACTCGATCGAGCTGAGTGTCGAGTTGACCAAACCGATCATTACAACTCTAATTCTTTGTAATCTTTGATGCATTTCAGGTACTTTAGTGAAGAAACAGTGTAACAGAGATGACAAACAGTGAGGGAAGTCGCGCTTCACAAAGGAGAATGGTTGAGGGTGAATCAAGCAATGCAAGGGAAAGAAGGCTTAAGATGCAAGCCGATTTGGAGAGGATGACTCAAAGGATGGAAGAGTCTGATGCAGAGGAGTATGTACTCTGAGGAAGAGTCTGAGAGCGAGAGATTGAGGGAGGAGAGGAGGACCAAGAAGAGGAATGACCCCATTAGTAGTGAGAGTGAAGCAAGGGGAGTTTGAGATTGGAGTGAACCTTGTTCAAGAGGAGGGAAATGGCTCTCCAAGTGAAGAAGGAAGTGATGAGACTGAGAGTGAAGAGGAAGGAGAAGAGGTGAATCAGTTGGTTGAAGAGAGTGAGCAAGAGAGTAACCAAGATGAACCTATGGAGGAGGTTGAGCCACAAGAGAGCCACAAGAGGAGGAGAAGAACTCCCTATGTACCAAGAGCACTACAATGCCCTCTTCTCCATGGACTTCATGGATACCAAGTACCCACATGTTGACACAATGAAGGCCCTTGGAATCTTTGAAGATGTGGAGCTAGTTCTCAAGAACATGCACTTGGCCAAGCTCTTCTCTTATCACATGGAATCCTACAAGGAGCTCACTTGCGAGTTCTTAGCTTCAATGAGGTACCACATGTATGAAGAGGAAGATAGAGCTGATTTGGACCAAGGATTGGGATGGATCACGTTCTTGGCTAAGGGAGAGAAGAGAATGGTGACCTTTAGGCAGTTGGAGATCTTGTTTGGGTTCAACTATGGAGAAGGTACCAAGTGGAACTTCAAGGAGAAGGAACTCCAAAGGGTTTGGGCTACAATCGCTGATGGAGTGTACTCTTCCTCAAGGTCCAAGGCAGCTCAGATCAGGAGCCCAGTGTTGAGATATGTGCACAAGGCACTTGCCAACACCTTCTTTGCAAGGAAGGCAACCGGGACCATCAACGAGGGGGAACTCAAGTTTCTTGACATGGGAATCAAGCCCATTCTCTCACGCACAAGCGATGGCAAGAGGATCAGGGGAGATAGATCACACAGGGAACTTGATGCCTTTCCTTGACCATCTCCTCACCTACAAGATCACAGCCTACAACACTAGACATCAACGAGGGAGGCGCCTAAGTGTTGGAGGGCTCATCACTCCTATCTTGTGTGCTGCTGGAGTGAACCCAACTGATAGAGAGCCACTGAACCAGGTTGGATGGACATCAAGTTTTGCAAGACCAACCTTCTCATTGAGCACAAGGAGTTGGATGGGAGGTTCCAATTCAAGTTCACACATCCATTGGTTGGCCCTCCAAGCTTCTCCTGCCTAACCCAGAGCTCACCACAGTAGTAAGGGGTGAGAACATTGACTTCAGACCCCCTGTGTACACTAGTTGGGCATGAGGATGATTTGCGAGAAGAGGAGCCTGAGCTCGATCGAGCTGAGGATCGAGCTGAGTCGAGCTGAGGATCAGTCCAGGAGAGTGCGGATTTGGGTGAGCCTGAGTGCTATTATTTTGAGGAGTATGAGGCTCCAAGGATGAACCCCTCTGTTGTGGCTGCCCACAAGAGGATTGGACTTCTCCAAAAGTTCAACAAATGGCAAGGGAAAGCCATTGAAAGATGCAAAAGTCCATGGACAAGATGGTGAGCAAGATCAAAAGTTTGGAGAAGAAGGTTTCTGGTTCTTCAAGCAAGAAGAAGAAGGCCCCCACATTCCTTAGGAGTAGATCCTTCTCACCACTCCAAGGAGGCTCCCTGCCCAAGAGCCTCACAGAGCCTCTTCTTTCGAGCCAAGGGAAGGAGAAGACAACACAGAGAAGGAGGAAGAGCTTCAAGGCCAGACGCTCCAGCTCGACCACCGGACTCGATCGAGTCCAAACAGAGGAAACTCAACTCGATCGAGCTGACGGTCGAGTTGACCTGGAGGAGCCCCAGTTTGAGGATCCGGATTTGATACGATCCAACGCCTTACCAGGAGCACCCCGGAGTAGATGGAACCCCTATGGACAGTACGAGCTAGCCATGCTCCACCAAGGCCAAGGGAGCCACACACACTTCAATGAAGAAGGAGGAAGAAGAGGAGCCGCAAGCTCGATCGAGTGAGGCGAACCCAGTCAGTGGAGTGCTCCTGATGGCCGTCTACCATCTCCAGACCACGACCTTGCCTCCCAGTTCTTTGGGGGGCACTGAGGTATCCAAACACCAACCCTTGTATATACCATTTCATATTTTCTTGCATTTGTTTTTTTTTTCTTGGTTTTGCCCTCTTGAATCTTTCACTAAATTTTTCTCACACAAGGGACTGTGTGATTTAAGTTTGGGGGAGGGTTCAAGAGATGATTTAACCTTGTTTTCTTTGTTCTTAGTTTTTCATTCATCTTTTGCATAGAAAAACCAAAAAAATCATAAAATTTTCAAAAAATCATCAAAAATATTTTCATCTTTTTGCATTCATATTTTAGATTGTTTAGGATTGCATTTTTCACTTGCATTGTTGATTTGACTTTGAAAACTTGTCCATCATTTGCGATTTCTTGAGTGCCCTGTTTTTAGATTCTTTTGTGCATTAGGGTGAGATTGATTGAGCAGCAAGAACCATGTTTATCTTGATCATATCACTGCATGCACATCTCATTCAACCATTGCTGTGATTTGATGCATTTCCCTATCTATTTGAACCATAACTTGATCTTTAATTACCAATGCTTGCATTTGATTTCAACTCATGGCTACCACATACATATCTGGACATTCTTTACCATTTTCATATCCCTTTGCTTGTCCAGATAGCTGATCTCTATCTTTGAGACAGTTACCACACCTTAAACCTAAGCCTTTTCATTTCAAACCCCTTATTATCTCTTGTGCGAATGTGAGAACCTTTCTTGGCTTTGCTTAGCATAAGGTGTTGTGTTTAAACCGGCAGGGGCAGTAGTTCTAGTTGTCTAGTTCTCTTGGGATTGTTTTCAGGCTAAGTTTGGGGGTGCCAACTCGAGCTCGATCGAGTTGGGTGTAAAAACCAGAAAAGTGGTAAAAGTTGGGAAAATCCAAAGGAAAAAGAGTTTAGTTAAGTCCAGGGAGTTGGCAGTGTTAAAAAGGGTCTAGTAAAGGTTTGGGAAGTTAAAAAAGGAAAGTAAAAAGGGTTCTAAGTAGAATGAAAAGAAGGCAAAGCCTCAAGTGTCAAAAAGAAAGAAAAGTTCCCTAAGTGTTTAGAAAATCCCAAACCGCTAGATGTTACCTCAAGAAGCCTCTCCCTAGGAAGTTCTTAAAAGAAAAGTGAGCAAAGCTCCTCAGTTTCAAAGGCGAAATGCCAAAAAGGGTAGTTAGGATTTTGTTCTAAAAAGCTCTAAGTGTTGAACTCGATCGAGTTAGGATTAGACGGCTCGAGCTGCTGTTCTTGCATCATCTTTGGTTCTAACACTTAGCCTTCTGCCAAAGCAAAGCCACTTTCTTGAGAGATCCCTGTTACTAAACCACCATACAAAAGAGACCCTCTTTGTCTCTTAACCCATAAACCCTTGAAACCAAATGAGTTGATTGATCTTGCATGTTTTTGGTTCACTGTTTTTGCTTAATGAATGTTAAAGGGATTTGCTGATTTGAATGCATTGTTTGAGTGACTGTGAAGTGGGATTGATGTTGATAAGCATGGTTAAATCTTAATGAATATCTCTCACCTTGTTGCATTCTAGAATCTCTAAGTTGGACATTTAGCAAATCGCTTTTGAGGACATGTTTTTAAGTGTTGAATCAGCTGTTTTCAAACCTCATCTCTTTCTTGTTCTATTTGTTTGCTTGAGGGCAAGCAAAGTTCAAGTTTGGGGGTGTTGATGTACTTGCATTTTACATAGTTTTAGTACATCTTTTATGCATCTTTTGCATAGTTTTAGCATCCATTAGCATCATATCTTGTTCCTTTTCTCTTCTTATGCATTCATAGTAGTTTTAGGTTGCATTTGCATACATATGCATGTTTGGTCCTTTGAAATAGGTCTTTTGGAGCATTCTGGAGCATATGGGACGAGGAGCATGGAGGACTTGGCACATGGACGCAGCTCAACTGGATACGCAAAGGAAGAAGGAGGAAGCCATCTTGAAGACCAGCTCGACCATCTACTCGACCAACCGGTCGAGTTCCTCAACTCGACCGGCCAAGCTTCAACTCGATCGAGCTGAGAAGTCAACAGTCAAACCCGAAAAATGTTGCTTCCCCCTTGACTTTCCTTTGACCCTAAACCTAATCCTCTTGTATTTAAAGGCTAAAAGCCACGAAAAAACCACCAAGCTTTAGATTACTTTTTGTTTTAGTTTCTTTTAATTTATTGTCTTTTACTTTTTGAGAGCTCTAATCCCATCTTTGTGTTCTTGAAGCTCTTGCTTCTTGAATCCTAGATCCTGGATAATCTCTTTGTATTTGCACTTGCTTATTTCAATAAAAGTTGTTTATTTCATCTCCTCTTTCTTATGATGTCTCTTTTATTGCATTTGCTTGTGTTTACATTCATGTGTAGTGAGTAGTTACCCATTAGGGTTTGAGATGGGATAGATTAGAGGTTTTATGCTTAATCCTTCTTGCTTATGGTCTTAATCTAGATCTCTCTCTTTTGGATAATCTTAAGGCTACATGACCACTACCCCTGGCTTGTATGTCCTTAGGCGATTCTCCACATGGAAGTGATGGAAATCGCTGGAAAAGTCCACTAAGAGCTCCAATATCTCTTGCTCTAGAAATGAGGTCTAAGGGGTTGGATGGATTAGTTTGGGCAATGATCCTATGGCCTCCAAGGCTTGATTCTCACTGGCTAACCCCCTGTTTCTGAGATCATTCCTTGGTTGATAGCTTTCACCTTGGGAAAGGGTTAGCTAGGCATTGAGAAGCCAATATCAAGAGAAGCCTTGATACAAGTTTTAAGAGCAAGATTGATTAAGTATAGCTTCCTCTGATTGCAAAACCCTGTCTTAGACCCTAATTCTTCGTTTAGCTTGTTAAAGTCGCTGCCTTTATTGCTTTTTACTTCAACTCGACCCTAAACTCGATCGAGCTCGGTACTCTGTTCCACTCGACTCGAGTCCTTGGTCGAGCTGTTGCTCTACTGCTTTATTTACTTTCTGCATTGCATTTCTTTCATTTAGGTTGTTAGTGTTACCAAATCTTTACTGCTTGCTTGACTTCCTTGTTTTTCATATTCTCATAGAGTGACAAGTTTCCCATTTTGGATTGATAACCTCTTATACTACATGACTATGATGGTTAAGAGGAATTGATTGATTGTGATTGCACCATACCATTCATCTTTATTCACCCTGTTTGCATTCCACCTCATATCTTATCACACCACAAAATCCTATCATCAGCAAGCAAGATTCAAGTTTGGGGGTGTTGATATACACATACATTAACATATCTTAGCATACTTTTACATGCATATTTCCACCTTCTAAGTCTCATTCTCATACATTTATATCCATATATCTCTATCTATACACTTGCACCTTCCTTAGGACTTGCATTGCATATACATTGCATTTTGAGTCTGAATCAGGTACTTAATGGAACTTTGGAGCCATTTGGGAAGTAGGAGCGTGATGATAGGATTTGTGTGTGTGAAAAGAATGAAATGAGATGAGTGGAATGCAATCAGTGGTAAATGAAGGTGGTAAGATGCAAACACAAACACAGTCAACAATTCCCTTTAACCATCATAGTCATTGAGTATAAGAGGTTATCAATCCAAAATGGGAAACTTGTCACTCTATGAGAATATGAAACAACCAGGAAGTCAAGCAAGCAGTTATAGATTTGAAGTAACACTAACAACCTAAAAATGAAATGCAGTGCAATAAAAGTAAACAAAGCAGTAAAGTAGCTCGACCAAGGACTCGAGTCGAGTGGAACAGAGTACCAGCTCGATCGAGTTTAGGGTCGAGTTGAGACAAAAAAGCTAAAGGTGACGACTTTAACAAGATAAGAGAGAATTAGGGTTCAAGACAGGGTTTTGCAATCAAAGGAATCTACACTTAATCAATCTAGCTCTTAAAACTCCTTGTATCAAGGCTTCTCTTGATATTGGGCTTCTCAATGCCTAGCCAACCCTTTCCCAAGGTGGAGGCTATCAACCAAGGAATGATCTCAGAAACAGGGGGTTAGCCAGTGAGAATCAAACCTTGGAGGCTATAGGATCATTGCCCAAACTAATCCATCCAACCCCTTAGACCTCTATTGTCTAGAGCAAGAGATATTGGAGCTCTTAGTGGATCTTTTCCAGCGAATGCCATCACTTCGTGTGGGGAGTCGCCTAAGGACTTACAAGCCAGGGGTAGTGGTCATGTAGCCTTAAGATCTATCCAAAAGAGAGAGAATCTAGATTAAGACCATAAGCTAGAAGGATTAAGCATATGAAACCTCTAATCTATCCCATCTCAAACCCTAATGGGTAACTACTCACTACACATGAATGTAAACACAAGCAAATGCAATAAAAGAGACATCATAAGAAAGAGGAGATGAAATTAAACAACTTTTATTGAAATAAGCAAGTGCAAATACAAAGAGATTATCCAGGATCTAGGATTCAAGAAGCAAGAGCTTCAAGAACACAAAGATGGGATTAGTTGCTAAAAAGTAAAAGACAATAAATTAAAAGAAAGCTAAAACAAAATAATCTAAAGCTTGGTGGTTTTTTCGTGGCTTAGAGCCTTTAAATACAAGAGGATTAGGTTTAGGGTCAAAGGAAAGTCAAGGGGGAAGCAACATTTTTCGGGTTTGACTTTGACTTCCAGCTCGATCGAGTTGAAGCTTGGCCGGTCGAGTTGAGGAACTCGACCGGTTGGTCGAGTGGACGGTCGAGCTGGTCTTCAAGATGGCTTCTCCCTTCTTCCTTTGCGTATCCAGTTGAGCTGCTTCCATGTGCCAAGTCCCTCCATGCTCCTTATGTCCCATATGCTCCAGAATGCTCCAAAAGACCTATTTCAAAGGACCAAACATGCATATGTATGCAAATGCAACCTAAAACTAACATGAATGCATAAGAAGAGAAAAGGAACAAGATATGATGCAAATGGAAGCTAAAACTATGCAAAAGATGCATAAAAGATGTGCTAAAACTATGTAAAATGCAAGTACATCAGAGCGTCGGAGACGTCAAAACAAAGAGCATTCAGGATGTGAACCAGGATCAGGAACCCGTTTGCCGCTTTACAAGCTTTCCTTGACCAAGAAGAGAGTTGACCAAAGTCAGAGTTGACCATGCCTAAGTGAAACGCGGAGTTTTGGAGCTTAAATCTTGGGGAAGGAAAGAAAAAGGGTTTTAGAGTCTCCAATATATAAACTAAAAAGTCCTAAGATTTTAGGCATCTTGTAATTTGTCTTTCATTTTGCCCCCAAGAAATACTCTAGTTCGAGATCTTAGACTTTGTAAGCTTTGATCTTTTTCCTTTAATCTAAATCATGTACTTGTCTACTCGCTTGTTCTTTGCATCTCACTTACTTGTTTAACAACCTTTCCTCTATGGGAATCGGTTTGTCAAACAGGATGAGTGAGTAGTCATTAGATCGTTTTAGGTGATTCGGTTCTGAGAGCTTAAAGGGAGAGTCTGAGTTTAAAGCTAGGACCTTTAGAGTTTCACCTTTCTTAGTATCCTTAAAGCCCTGCCATTTCTGATCATTCTGGCTCGGATCTCAAGCTCTCAACACAACAAAAGTGTGTTTGAGAGCTAGAAAATCTAAGATAAGGGATCTACTTCTCTAGCCCGCGATAGCTGTTTGTTTAGAGGGTTCTTTGGTGTTGGGATCTGCGTTTAAAGCTTGCTTGAGTACAAGCTCACTGATGATAGTCAGCTCTTGAGTTTGAAACTTGCATTCGAGCTCATTCACGATAGTGATGAGTCCTTGCTTTCGTTTTCCTTAGCGTAGAAACTCGGTTTTATCTTCTAAAGAAAGTCTTCTCCTTTAGCTCGATTTTATCCCAAAATCACCTAAAGCCATCGCCTTTCTTCATTTCCTTTCATAAAGTTCAAGTCTTTTAGCTCAAAGTCGAAACCTTTGCCTTTGAATTCGGATTTGGACCGTTAATTTATTGTTCTAATTTTGTATTTCACTGTTTAACGTTCGGATTTCGTAAAAACCAAGTCTTTGTTCTTGGCTTGAATCTTTCTTGCACATCTTTAAAACCCAATATTTTCCGAGATTTGGATTGATACCTTAGCTATACTGCGATGATATGAGCAGAGATTTGAGGGTTTGAATCTATTAAAAATCTTGTTTTCACACATCTATCCTTTTATGTTTCTCATTCCTATAGTCTCCGTCCTGAAATTTCACCATATAATCCATGTCAACTCCTCGATAAACATAACATAAGAATATACATATATGTGTCGATGGTTATATCAAATGAAGATATTGAAATATGTATTTAAAAAAAAAATTGATATTCTAAAACCTATATGACCGTTATGCGTTTCTGTTGAGTTTTCATCAAATGTTTGATCGAGAAATCTCTTAAAGACAGCCCCAATATATAGTTAATATTTAAAGACAAAACACCATAAGTAATTAACGAAATAACATAAGTGGAAAAATTATTACGACGATGATTGAGATTGAACATTAGGCGACGCTAGGAGGCAGTGGCACTCGCGGGTACACTTGTCATCGCAGTATTTTGGAGGATGTCAAAACCCACACTTGCCTGTGCACCAGTCATAGCACCAACCCTTCTTGCATGAAACTCCTTCTGCTTCTCCTATCATAGACGGCATTATTACTGCCACCACCATCATCACTACAATGCATTTCTTCGAACTCATCTTTCTTAATTTTTTATTTTGTGTATGAAAATTATATATGTTCATTAAGAAGTTTATATATATATATATATATATATACACACATATGAAATTAATAACGTATGCTTAGTTGATGATACTATACTTAATTTTCTCAGGATTCTGTCTTAGTTACGTTTGATTTTTTCCATTTAACAGAAAATAGGTAATTTTAAATTGGGTAATTTATTTACAAAGAAATGTAGAATCGAGATCCTAATTTGAAATCTTTTACTTCCTCCGTTTCATATTAGTTGTCGTTTTTAGAAATGTATTTGAAATGTATATGAATATGTTCTGAGTTAAACACATCCAAATACATTTCTAAAAACGACAACTAATATGAAACAAAAGGAGTAATATTTTTGTCATAATTGTATCTTGGGCTTATAAAAAAAACACATTACTATGAAAGTATGGTCTAATTAGTTTTTTGAGATCTTATACTTTACTACTAAAATATGTTGAGATTGTTTAATATTTTTTTTGATAAATGTAATTATAGAGCCAAAATTATTGAAATCACCTTGTGAATATCTAGTGCATTATGTTGCATGTCTATTTTTTTTTTTAATATGATAAAAATGGTCCTTTAAGCCTGAGTTTACCGTTTCCCGTTTTTAAGAATAGATAATGATCGATGGAAGGCATATTGATTTGATTTCCATTTTACATGCATCGGTTATCTTAATCTCGGTTCGGGTTTGCCAGTTTAAAAAATATTTATTTTGAAAAGGGCATCATTTTAAAGTGATGATAGCAATGAAATTCTTCGGTGTAAGTGAAAGCAACTTTATGTGATAAACTTTTGACAATAGAGAGTTGAAAAACTTGTTACTAAAAGGGTTTTTTGGCGGATATCATATATATATTTTATTCATATGTAAATAATAGTGAGCTTACAATTACATCACTTGAAGCCATTTATCGAAAAAAAATACGCTTGTGTAACTTTTTATATCTGTAACATCCATAAACCAAAAAATAAAAATTGGGAATTTTGTCGGTTCAATTTAAGTGAATTGGTTTGGGTCGGTTTAGTGGAGAAAGCCCTAAAATCAAGTTTAAAGAGTGCAGCCGTCTTCTCTTTGGAGAATTTTCGAGTTCAGATGCTGTAGAGGAGAAAAGTTGAGTTTTTGGAGAGATTTTCGAATTTTACTGTTCATCGGCACTGTTCATCGGTACTGTTCACGGGTTACTGTTCATCGGTACTGTTCACGGGTTACTGTTCATCGGTACTGTTCACGGTTACTGTTCATCGGTTCACTGTTCATCCGCGATTCGGCACTGTTCATCGTCCTTCCTTTTTCCTTCAGTTTCAGTCAATTGTCAAGGTGAGTGCATGACTGTGGGTCCGTGATTTGCTAGATTAGATTTGGTTTGTGGTTGTTCTTGATGAGTTTATGTTTTTAATTGTTATTTTTATGATATTTTGGTTGTTCATGTGATGAATTGTGTGTTTGTGTGGTTTAATCTGGTTTATTGGTTTAATTGAATTTAATTGATTTGATTCTGGTTTATCTTGGTTCAATTGAATTTAATTGGTTTAATTGAATTTAATTGGTTTAATGGAATTAAATAGATTTAATTCGGATTTAATTAATTAAATAATATTTATTTAATTAATTGGTATTATTTTAATTATTTTAAAATATGGAAAATTATTATTTAATTATGAGAATTATTTAATAATTGAGAAATTGAGTTTTAATTATTAAAATTATTTAATAATTGGAAAATGGTATTTAATAATTATTGGAGTTTATAAATATTATTAAATATCTAGTAAATTGCGTAAATGGCTCGTAGGCAGAGTGATTGCCTCACTAAGTATTTATTAAATACTTACGCAACTCCATTCCAATGTGTTGCAGGTAAAAGATTTGTGTGATCGCGGAATCAAGGCTGAAGAGGGGGATGATAGGATGTTTACTGTTTTATTGTTTTGCATTATTTTGCTAGACTTGTTTAATTATTATTTGCTTCCGCTGAGCTGATTTATTTGTTATTGATATTTTATTTATTTAATTTATTTTTAAGACCTTCGCTAGAATTGATTAATATTTTAAAAAAAAAAAATGTTGGTTGTTTCAATATCACATCTATCCTCTTATATTTCTCATTCCTATAGTCTCGGTCCTGAAATTTCACCATATAATCCATGTCAACTCCTCGATACACATAACATAATAAAATACATATATATGTTTATGGTTATATCAAATGAAGATATTGAAATTTGTAATTTTTTTTTTTAAATTGATATTCTAAAACCAATATGACCGTTATACTTATCTGTTGAGTTTTCATCAAATGTTTGATCGAGAAATCATTTAAAGACAGCCCCAATATATAGTTAACATTTAAAGACAAAACACCATAAGTAATTAACGAAATAACATAAGTGGAAAAATTATTACAACGATGATTGAGATTGACCACTAGGCGTTGTTAGGAGGCAGTGGCACTCGCGGGTACACTTGTCATCGCAGTATTTTGGAGGATGTCCAAACCCACACTTTCCCGTGCACCAGTCATAGCACCAACCCTTCTTGCATGAAACTGCTTCTGCGTCTCCTATCATAGACGCCATTACTACTGCCACCATCATCATCAATACAATGCATTTCTTCGTACTCATCTTTCTTAATTGCTTTTTTTTGTATAAAAAATTATATATGTTCATTAAGAAGTTTATATTTATATATATATACACACATATGAAATTAATAACGTATGCTTAGTTGATGATACTATACTTAATTTTCTCAGCATTTTGTCTTAGTTACGTTTGATTTTTTCCATTTAACAGAAAATAGGTAATTTTAAATTGGGTAATTCATTTACAAAGAAATGTAAAATTGAGATCCTTATTGGAAATCTTTTACTCCCTCCGTTTCATATTAGTTGTCGTTTTTAGAAATGTATTTGAAATGTATATGAATATGTTCTGAGTTAAACACATCCAAATACATTTCTAAAAAAAGACAACTAATATGAAACAAAAGGAGTAATATTTCTGTCATAATTGTATCTTGGTCTTATGAAAAGAAAAATACATTACTATGAAAGTATGGTCTAATTAGTTTTTTGAGATCTTATACTTTACTACTAAAATATGTTGATATCGTTTAATATTTGTTTTGATAAATGTAATTGTAGAGCCAAAATTATTGAAATCAACTTGTGAATATCTAATGCATTATGTTGCATGTCTATTTTAATATTAATATGATAAATATGGTACTTTAAGCCTGAGTTTACCGTTTTCCTGTTTGTAAGAATAGATAATGATCGATGGAAGGCATATTGATTTGATTTCCATTTTACATGCATCGGTTATCTTAATCTCGGTTCGGGTTTGCCAGTTTAAAAATATTTATTTTGAAAACGGCATCATTTTAAAGTGACGATAGCAATGAAGTTCTTCGGTGTAAGTGAAAGTAACTTTATGTAAGAAACTTTTGACAATAGAGAGTTGAAAAACTTGTTACTATAAAGATTTTTTGGTGGATATCATTTATATTTTTTATTCATATGTAAATAATAGTGAGCTTACAATTACATCACTTGAAGCAAATTTATAGAAAAAATACACTTGTGTAACTTTTTATATCAAATCTATCATTTTATTTTTCTCATTCCTGTAGTCTCCGTCCTGCAATTTCACCATATAATCTATGTCAACTCCTCGATACACATAACATACTAATATACATATATCTGTTTATGGTTATATCAAATGAAGATATTAAAATTTGTAATTTTTTTAAAATCGATATTCTAAAACCAATATGACCGTTATGCATTTCTGTTTAGTTTTCATCAAATGTTTGATCGAGAAATCATTTAAAGACAGCCCCAATATATAGTTAACATTTAAAGACAAAACACCATAAGTAATTAACGAAATAACATAAAATTATTACAACGATGATTGAGATTGACCACTAGGCGTTGCTAGGAGGCAGTGGCACTCGTGGGTACACTTGTCATCGCAGTATTTTGGAGGATGTCCAAACCCACACTTTCCCGTGCACCAGTCATAGCACCAACCCTTCTTGCATGAAACTGCTTCTGCTTCTCCTATCATAGACGCCATTACTACTGCACCACCATCATCAATACAATGCATTTCTTCGTACTCATCTTTCTTAATTGCTTTTTTTTTGTTTAAAAAATTATATATGTTCATTAAGAGGTTTATATATATATATATACACACATATGAAATTAATAACGTATGCTTAGTTGATGATACTATACTTAATTTTCTCAGGTTTCTATCTTAGTTACGTTTGATTTTTTCCATTTAATAGAAAGTAGGTAATTTTAAATTGGGTAATTCATTTACAAAGAAATGTAAAATCGAGATCCTAATTCGAAATCTTTTACTCCCTCTGTTTCATATTAGTTGTCGTTTTTAGAAATGTATATGAATATGTTCTGAGTTAAACACATCCAAATACAGTTCTAAAAACGACAACTAATATGAAACAAAAGGAGTAAAAATTTTGTCATAATTGTATCTTGGGCTGATAAAAAAAAAATACATTACTATGAAAGTATGGTCTAATTAGTTTTTTGAGATCTTATACTTTACTACTAAAATATGTTGAGATTGTCTAATATTTTTTTGATAAATGTAATTGTAGAGCCAAAATTATTGAAATCACCTTAAGAATATCTAGTGCATTATGTTGCATGTCTATTTTTTTTTTTAAATATGATAAAAATGGTCCTTTAAGCCTGAGTTTACCGTTTCCCGTTTGTAAGAATAGATAATGATCGATGGAAGGCATATTGATTTGATTTCCATTTTACATGCATCGGTTATCTTAATCTCGGTTCGGGTTTGCCAGTTTAAAAAATATTTATTTTGAAAAGGGCATCATTTTAAAGTGACGATAGCAATGAAGTTCTTCGGTGTCAGTGAAAGCAACTTTATGTGATAAAATTTTGACAATAGAGAGTTGAAAAACTTGTTACTAGAAGGGTTTTTTGGCGGATATCATATATATATTTTATTCATATGTAAAAAATAGTGAGCTTACAATTACATCACTTGAAGCCATTTATAGAAAAAAATACACTTGTGTAACTTTTTATATCACATCTATACTTTTATGTTTCTCATTCCTATAGTCTCGGTCCTGAAATGTCACCATATAATCCATGTCAACTCCTCGATACACATAACATAATAAAATACATATATATGTTTATGGTTATATCAAATGAAGATATTGAAATTTGTATATTTTTTTAAATTGATATTCTAAAACCATTATGACCGTTATGCGTTTCTGTTGAGTTTTCATCAAATGTTTGATCGAGAAATCTCTTAAAGACAACCCCAATATATAGTTAATATTTAAAGACAAAACACCATAAGTAATTAACGAAATGAAATAAGTGGAAAAATTATTACGACGATGATTGAGATTGAACACTAGGCGACGCTAGGAGGCAGTGGCACTCGCGGGTACACTTGTCATCGCAGTATTTTGGAGGATGTCCAAACCCACACTTGCCCGTGCACCAGTCATAGCACCAACCCTTCTTGCATGAAACTCCTTCTGCTTCTCCTATCATAGACGCCATTACTACTGCCACCACCATCATCACTACAATGCATTTCTTCGTACTCATCTTTCTTAATTTTTTTTTTTGTGTATGAAAATTATATATGTTCATTAAGAAGTTTATATATATATAGTATGCTTAGTTGATGATACTATACTTAATTTTCTCAGGATTTTGTTTTAGTTACGTTTGGTTTTTTCCATTTAACAGAAAATAGGTAATTATAAATTGGGTAATTCATTTACAAAGAAATGTAAAATCGAGAATCCTAATTCGAAATCTTTTACTCCCTCCGTTTCATATAAGTTGTCGTTTTTAGAAATGTATTTGAAATGTATATGAATATGTTCTGAGTTAAACACATCCAAATACATTTCTAAAAAAGACAACTAATATGAAACGAAAGGAGTAATATTTTTGTCATAATTGTATCTTGGGCTTATGAAAAGAAAAATACATTACTATGAAAGTATGGTCTAATTAGTTTTTTTGAGATCTTTAAAAATACATTAATATGTTGAGATCGTTTAATATTTATTTTGATAAATGTAATTGTAGAGCCAAAATTATTGAAATCACTTTGTGAATATCCAGTGCATTATGTTGCATGTCTATTTTTTTTTTTAATATGATAAAAATGGTACTTTAAGCCTTAGTTTACCGTTTTCCCATTTGAAAGATAATGATCGATGGACGGCATATTGATTTGATTTCCATTTTACATGCATCGGTTATCTTAATCTCGGTTCAGGTTTACCAGTTTAAAAAATATTTATTTTCAAAAGGGCATCATTTTAAAGTGACGATAGCAATGAAGTTCTTCAGTGTAAGTGAAAGCAAATTTATGTGAGAAACTTTTGACAATAGAGAGTTAAAAAACTTGTTACTATAAGGGTTTTTTTGGCTCTTTGGCGAATATCATATATATTTTTTATTCATATGTAAATAATAGTGAGCTTACAATTACATCACTTGAAGCCATTTATAGAAAAAAATACACTTGTGTTACTTTTTATATCACATCTATCCTTTTGTGTTTCTCATTCCTATAGTCTCGGTCCTGAAATTTCAACATATAATCCATGTCAACTCCTCGATTCACATAACATAATAAAATACATATGTTTATGGTTATATCAAATGAAGATATTGAAATTTGTATATTTTTTTTTAAATTGATATTCTAAAACCAATATGACCGTTATGCGTTTCTGTTGAGTTTCATCAAATGTTTGATCGAGAAATCTCTTAAAGACAGCCCCAATATATAGTTAACATTTAAATACAAAACACCATAAGTAATTAACAAAATAACATAAGTGGAAAAATTATTACGACGATGATTGAGATTGAACACTAGGCGACGCTAGGAGGCAGTGGCACTCGCGGGTACACTTGTCATCGCAGTATTTTGGAGGATGTCCAAACCCACACTTGCCCGTGCACCAGTCATAGCACCAACCCTTCTTGCATGAAACTCCTTCTGCTTCTCCTATCATAGACGCCATTACTACTGCCATCACCATCATCACTACAATGCATTTCTTCGTACTCATCTTTCTTAAATTTTTTTTTTGTGTATGAAAATTATTTATGTTCATTAAAAAGTTTATATATATACACACACATATGAAATTAATAACATATGCTTAGTTGATGATACTATACTTAATTTTCTCAGGATTCTGTCTTAGTTACGTTTGATTTTTTTCCATTTAACAGAAAATAGGTAATTTTAAATTGGGTAATTGATTTACAAAGAAATGTAAAATCGAGATCCTAATTCGAAATCTTTTACTCCCTCCGTTTCATATTAGTTGTCGTTTTTAGAAATGTATTTGAAACGTATATGAATATGTTCTGAGTTAAACACATCCAAATACATTTCTAAAAATGACAACTCATATGTAAAACAAAAGGAGTAATATTTTGGGCTGTTTTCAAAAGTAGTACAAAAATTGAGGTCAAATGCAAAAGTAGTTCACTTTTTTTTCTTCCTTGTTTATCCTCACCATATTTGTGATAATAACGAAAATGCCATTACTTTCGTCCTTGAAGTCTAACCGTGAAGTCTAATACGAAAATAAAAGGTCCAAAGAAACCTCATCTTCTTCACTTATTCACGAAAATGCCATCACCATCAATTCGTCCAACAACCATTCTCAACCAAAATCAAGCTTTGAATGCATGATTTACTCTTCAAATATATATACAAACTCATTATATCATCTCATAAACTTGTATTCTTCAATTTCTTCTCCATTTTCACCCCAAGAACACACATTTTCATCTTTTCAAAGTTTATGTTCTTAGATCTTCCCATTTTTGGTGTGGGAGATCATTATAACGGTTGGGGAAGTTTGCTTGAAACTCTAAGATCACGGCAAGGTAAAATTCCGGTAGATCTGAGTGAATTTCATATTTTTGCAGGTCCTTAGACTTCATAGCGAAGTCTAACAAACTAGTTTTGCAATTGAATTTTCAAAAAATTTAGAGAGTAGAAGTCTACCCATATTCCTTTGAAAACAAAAAAATATGGCGTAGACTTCAGAATGAAGTCTACTCGAAAAGATTAGTTTTGCAATTGACAGAATAAAAACTTTTTATGAGAAGTCTATGTGAAGTCTGCTTCAAAAAAGACTAGTTTTGCAAACTTTCAGTAGTTTGTTTTATCGTGAAGTCTACCCCTGAAGTCTATTAATGTTGTTTAGACTTCATTCAAAGTCTAATACTGCGTTAGACTTCATTGTGAAGTCTAATAAAGGGTTAGACTTCATTTCGAAGCCTAATTCTTGATAGACTTCTTGGTGAAGTCTAATAGTCAACGTTTATCGGAGTAGACTTCACGATGAAGTCTATTTTCAAATTCAAAAATTCGATCAATTGCAAAACTAATCCTTATGAAGTCTAATTCCTGTTGTAGACTTCACTGGTAGACTTCATTCTCTAGTTAGACTTCATTTTTAAGCCTATTCACGATAATGAAGTCTATTTGTAAAAGTCAAAGCTTGGTCAATTGCAAAACTAGTCTTTTTTTTCGATAGACTTCACGTGTAGACTTCATAAAAATTCGTCATTTGGAAAATTGCAAAACTAGTCTATTAGACTTCAGGGAAGTCTACTAAATAGACTTCCTCGTGAAGTCTACTATTTAATGTTTTATTTGAAAACGCTTTTTTGGAAAATATATAACGAATTTTTAAGATTTTCTTGAACAATTAGTTGAGTTAGTCTGTTTAGTTGCTTGTGTGTTAGTTTGACATGCTTATTCGTTGTATATTTCGTGAAAACGGTTTTCTTGTGAAAATTGAATATTAGACAATATTAGGTAGACTTATAGGTGAAGTCTACCACTGAAATCTAATAATGAAGTCTAATGTGGTTGGTTTTTGTTTACTTGCAGAAAATGGTATACATTGCATCTGTTTATGAAGAATGGGTGAGAAGGACAATTTGTGAAGTTTATTTGTGAAGTCTACTCATAAAGTTTAACTATTTGTTTGAACATGGTCTATTTTAACTAGGTAAACTGCATAAAAAATGCTTGTA